ATGTTTTTTTTTTTAATTTATCGTAACTGGTGTCGTAAGTAAGTTATATATATATATATAATATGGATATTTAATTAGATGTGAGTTTATCTTAATTGGAATTCTTCTGAATAGCTCATGCGACTAAAATATTGTTACGACAGCGGAAGTCACGTGAACCTGGTAACACGTAATGAGTTCTAGAAAGATCGGGAACATCACGAATAATCCAGACAATTAATCGGCATAGAATTGCAGACAGGCAGAGACAGAGATGGACGATTGAGTCAAGCGCGGTAGTAAGTAAATTACATGAATCGTTCGTTCTGAATTATAGCGTGTGTTATGTTAAAGTAATTGTGGAAATTAAGTATATTGCAAAGTTGTATTGAGAGAGAATAAACTAGTTTTATTTAAGAAAGGAGTTATATCGCTGAAGTTTTTCAGAAGGAATTTTTACGAGAAAATAACAAACGACCAGAGAGGTAACAATATGAAGTTGGCTTACAGAATTGTGAGTTGTAATCCCTTTCGACCTCAATATACTATTTCTTTGGAGAAAAATTACAGAAGCGTATATTTTTTTAGCAATATCTTACTTTCTATATAAATTAACTGAACATTTATACATTACTTTCATCATAATCATCACCACCACCCCCCACGGTGGTTAAGCGGTACGTCTGTGGGCTTATAACACTAAAAATCGTGTTTCGATACACACGGTGGGAAAAGCAGAGATAGATAATTGTGCAGCTCTGTGCTTAACAACAAACAAACAACCCAAAACCTTCATAGTCTCATTTTCATCTTAAACTTTATAGTCTATGATTTACAAAGCTGAACGAGTGAGTAGCTAATAATAATGAAATAAAACAAGATATACAAGTTTACCCATAGGTGGGGTTTCAGAGGTGAGATGTGCATCATATACTGATTTAAGTCGTCGTAATCTTATTCAGGCAAGTTTTGTTCGAGATTTGTTTAACGTACTGTTTACTTTAATAAGATATAAGTCCTACATCTGTGATGTTATATGACTTTGAAGTGTTAGTAATTATGTCTACGTATTAGCCTCATGTAAAAAAACATGTCTAAAATAACTTCAGTTGAAGAAGTTAGTTATCAATCACACGAGTCATACTACTTTACTTATTAATACTAGTTCTAATAGTAGTAATACTAATACTAGTCATAGTATTTGTAAAGAGTAATATAGTGTATCACTAATGTTAGTATTAATACGATGAATAATATTATAGTATTTGTTTAAAAAGTAATATTTTTCATTCCTAGAGTTAAAATATTTTTTATTATTATTTACCTTAGTCTTAGCCTCACAATAATTTATAATAATGTTTTCTGTTGACTTTCCACTTCTTTCAATAGTTATAAGTTACGGTTTTCAGATGAATTGGAACCTGCATAATGTTGGGAATTTAATGCAAAAAATAAATTCACTGTAAGAAACACAATATTGAAACAGCTTTAAAAATAAATTTCTATTTCAGTGTTGTGTTTTTACATTTTTTTTTATTTTGTGCATCAGTTAAGTGTGGTTAGTATGTTCTACAGATTTGCTCATATGTTGGGTGGGTAGATTGGAAATATAGATTAACATCTAATAAACTTTAATATAATATTGAATTTAAGGACAACAAAAGACCTGTTGGATCATTTAGGTTTTCCTATACACCAAACAACTATACAAATAATAATAACATAACAATATTTATGGACGACAAGGGACATATATGGTCTATATTGGATGTCCCATCCTCTAAACTAAACTAAAACTATCAAATAAATAAAATAAAAATCTTAAAGCAAACCCTTATCATTTATCAAGCTTTCTCTTAAACTAACTTAAATTTACTGCGTCTACAACAGTTATTCTGAACGTGGGGGGCAATTTAAAAATGCTACAATAAGAAAAATTTATTATTTGGGTGTGAAGAGCAAAAATTTGTTCTATTTTTACCTAATATTGTAAATTTAAAGCAGTATTATTAATTAAGCTCCAATTTTTTTGGTAAATTTCTAAATTTTACATTATATTATTATACCTTTTCAACACCAAATTTGATTTTATATTAAGGGTGCATCAAATGTTTTGAGGTTGGGCATGGAGCTAAAAAGATTAAGAACCACTGCTCTACAACATCTGAAGGCATCCATTCCAAAGGCCAACCACCCTGTTAGAGAAATAAAACTGTCTTAGCTGAAGATGACTCCTACCTAGCCAAAATTTATATTTGTGTCCCCTAGTCCTACTAGTCTCACCATTAAGTATGAAAAAAGATGATGCATCAACACTATCAGTTACCTTTACAATCTTAAACACCTCAGATCCCCCCTAACTTAACAGTTTCAGATATCTTAACCTCTACTCGTATGACAACCCATCCATTCCAGTAACCCTTCGCTGAACCCTTTCCAACAATTTAATGTCCTTCCTAAGGTAAGTTGCCCAAATGTGGCCTAACCAGTGACCTATAGAATGAAATTATAATCTCGTTAGACGTATATTCGATATTTCTGTAGATACAACCTAAAATCCTATTTGCCCCACCACTAGCAACTTAGATAGCTGAAGAGACTCATCAACTGTTACACCAAGATCCCTTTCTTTTATGACACTGTTAAGGTTATTCCCATCCAAGTTATACTTATAATTTAAATTATGATAACCCACATGCGTTATTTTGCATTTATTAGAATTAAAACCCTCTGCCATTCATTTGCCCAACTCACTAAATTATCTAAATCCTTTTATAAATCAGCAGCATCCTCTACAAACTTAGCAACACCCAAGACCTTAATATATCATCAGATCTTCTATGTTACTGATGTAAATCAAAAAGAGCAAAGGTCCTAAGACTGAGCCCTGAAGTATACCACTTGTGACATTAATCCAGTTTGACTGATCTCCATTTATAACAACCCCCCTGTTTTCTTCTATCCAGCCACTCTTCTATCCAATTTGCTAACTTATTCCCCACACCTGTAGACCTAATATTTGTACAAGCCTTTTATGTGGCACCTTGTCAAATGCTTTCTAAAAATCCAGGTACATCAAATCTACACCCTTACCCTCATCTACATAACAGTAACCTTTTCAAAGAATGTTAAAAGATTTGTAAAGCAAGATTTTCCCTTAGTGAAACCATGTTGACTATCCAATAAAATTTTAAACTTTGTTAAATGACTTTCCAAAGCATCTTTTATCAGACCTTCCAAAAATTTTCCCACAACTGATGTAAGACTAATAGGCCTATAATTACCTGGACATTTTTATCCTCGTTCTTGAAATGAGGAGTGATTTTAACCAACTTCCAATATTCTGGTACCTGATCATTATTCAAGGAGTTAAAAATAATATTAGCAAGTGGCTCGTATATCCCATCCTTAACCTCTTATAAAATTCTTGGTGAAATATTATCTAATCCCATCCTTAACCTCTTAT